AAAAATAAAATATATTCACGTGTACCTGACCCTTAACTAATATAAAATTATGTCTCTTATATACATTCTATCTATTTAAAAATTCAATCTGAAAAAACGCCATATTTTGTTGTTTTTATACTCCATATTGTCCCATATATGGGACGCAGATATTACTGCAAAAATAATTATGGAATTTATGTTTTTATTTAAAAATTTTGGTAATTGAAAGTTGGATATATGGTCCCTTTAAACTGTAATCCAAATGAGCTTCAGGGTTCTTTATATTCGGTGTTACGTTCATAAGTGTCCGCTACCTTATTTACGCAAATGCCCTGTATATGCAGTCCCGGAATGACTTGTTTTACCTCATGTTTCTTTTATTGATGTACTTGCAACGCAAGATGGGAGGAGAGACAGGGGCAGAGTTGCCACGTGTATAATACACGTAACTGAAATTTAGGAGATAATACCACGTGGACACCCTTTTACCTTCGGAACTTCCCTCGTGTAGCCCACGCGACTTTTATGAAACAAAAAACTTAAAACGAGACAGAAACAAATTTCCATACCTTTGCTTTATTCATCACAGTAAAATTGACATCGTCTATTGTATGTATTTTATTGCCAAGCTTCATAACTCACCCTCCCAAAAATCTGCCATAGCCTCTATGACCTATAACCTGCCCTCTAAAGACGTTTTCTATTTAATTTCAGACCGTATGGAAGGGAATAATGGACACCAAGTATGACAAAGAGGTCAATAATACCTACTGGGCAATAAACTACGAACGTGCTCATGAAATGTTTCCTAAGTAAGTGGACTTTAAAAAGTACAAGACACCTTTTTTATATGTGCTGACAGTGATTTGATGTAAAGGACTAACTCTTAATCTCCCATCCGTCTTATAAAAAGTATTTTCCAAGCTGCATGTCAGGTATGAGGTATTCTACAGTTTGACTTTTATTTACAGGGTTAAAAAAGAAATCAAGAGGAAAACACGCGACCCTGCACTTACCTTTCTGAGGAAAATACAACAGCAAAGAAAAGTTCGCACTAAGAGCGCAAACTCACAACGACATTAGACTTATAATTGACGTTTTGGTCTTCCCGCGAAAAAAATCCCAACGCCTGTTCAGTGAGGCAAATAATGTACATGTAGTATTGTTTACTATAAACAGCCAGAAGACGTTTAAATGATACTAGAATGAGGTGATACTATTCACAATTAGAAAGGGCCCCTGAGAACGCAGTCCTATACCAAGGACCCTGAAGTGGTAAAGTGTGGTAGGGTGGAGGCATCCACAGAACAAGGTCAAGGTCATCGGCCCTGTTTCACCATGGCGAAGGAACTTTTTAAAAAATCTTGGATCCAGATGACGATCCTGATATCTGAGCACCTCCAAAATCTAACAATTTCTAGGCTACCCTAAAAAAAGGCCATTTATATCCATGCATCCATACCTTTTTCGGTTAGGGAACTGACAAACAAACAAAATATCAAACAAACAAAAAGACAGATAGTCAGGCAGACAGACGGACAGACAGACAGACGGAAGTGAAACATAACCACCCTGGTAGGCTATTTCCATAATGGTCATTATTCCAGTCTTGATCTCTGCTTGGTAGAAAAAGCACAGCTGGTGGTTCAAGCGAATGGATTGTACATTTAAAGGGATAATAACTATTCGTTTTGGCGAAAAAATGAATTTTCCCGGAGTAAACAACAATTTTTCCATACTTACCAATGGTTAACTAATCCATTTCTACAGGTACATTCGAAGTTAGTCCCTGTTTTTTTATTTATTTATTTTTATTTTATTTTATTTTTTTTTAATTTGGTTTTATGTTAAAATCTCTAAGTTTTATGTTATAACCTCTAAGAGATTATTACAGAGTATAGCCATCTATGGAGGTCACGTGGTCTGATGACAAGCTCAGATATCAGAATAATAGCTATAATTGCCGTTTTTGTGGTAAAACAGAATATATTATATAATATTTTTATGAGTTGTTTAAAATGTTTTAAATGTGAAATATAGATCTCATACCAATAATTATTATCTCTTTAAATAGGAGGTTGTTGGGTGTGATCTATAATATTGCAAACATATCACCTGTTTTATTTCTATAGAAGGCAAAATATCAAGATACAAATCAAAATGTGCTGATTATATAATACCGATTTACTGTGGAATCATTTTTAATGTTTTTTATCAAAAATATGCCGTATGATTACTTCATTATTAAATAAATTATTTTTAATACCTGTATTCAAGTATGAAAATGATTTTCATCGTGAATATCTCATCTATGGAGAGAGAGAGAGAGAGAGAGAGAGAGAGAGAGAGATTTGCTGAATAATTTATAATTTATATTATTATCACTAACTGTTGTATTTATCATCAAATAATTGCGTGTACTGTAACTCAAATGGTCTCGACATGACTCCAGATCCCGACTGGGTCTGATCTTCCACTTCACGTGTACAGAGGAGCTAATAAACAACCTCACATCTTCACTTCCGAGTCTTAATTTTATTTTCATTATCCACGGTATTATACTGCTGATTTGGTAGCAGAAGTAGTATGGTAAAAGAACAATAATTCCGATTTAACAAAAAGCACAGTACCGTGTTTATCGTTACACAACTACACTGAACATGTACATGTAACCGTGAAAATATTAATTACTTGACATGTATAAGATTAGAAATTCTGAGTTAAGTAATCTGTCACTATTTAGAACCATAGGTTTAGTGTTCTATCACCACTGAGCATACTAAGCAGTTACCCCACCCTACAGTTCAGTATAAATAGTCACCCCGATCTGACTGTAGAGGGCGATCTCATCCTAAGCACATGTAGGAAAACAAGGACCGAAGACCTTAAGTCTGAAATACAGACACTCCGTCACTGGAAAAACTGTGAGCACTGTATTACTGTGGTGCTTTGCTCTAGTACCTAAATTACCTGTAGGTGCCCTACTCATGGGCGGATTGAGGCCGTCTTCTGGGTCTTCTGGTAGACAGTCAGTTTTTCAATTTTACAAATTACAATTTAATTTATTTTTTGATTGGTATCTTATTTTTCTGTCGGAAGACGGTCAAAAATGGAGGATTGATCAAAAAAGAAGATTTGGAAGATTGTCAGAAAATATCTCTGGATCCGCCCCTGCTACTGTACCTATGACTGTAACAATATTTTTGGAAGAAATAAAGTATTGTATTAGGAAAACTATTTCCTCTCTCTCTTTATCATACACCGCGCTGTTACAAAGTGGCACTCGCCGTTACAGTATAAATGGGCACTTTACATACACTTAATCTAATGAGAAGCGATATGTGTGCCACAGTGACTTCAGGCGATTTGCGTACTAATTGTTTTGCAATATCAACAGGTAAGGATTTTCACTTATCAGACGCAGCTATCCCAGGCATACCGACCAGTGCGGAGGTGTTACTATAAAAGTGAATGATAAAAATCTATTTCAAGACAGGAAGAAATTAAGTGATAAGATATTGGCAAAACATGTTATTGGGGAGGGGGGGTGTCATCATCTGAAACCAGTCGAGATACGCGTATGCAAACTATAGATAGAATTGTTATGTTGAATTATTCTATAAGACACCTTCGCTGTATGCATTTCGCTCATATGCACTTTAGATGTTGTTTGTGTTCTTTTCAATTTTCTTATTATTGTGTTATTTGATAAGTTAGGACAGCAGCGAATGCAGATTGTAAAAGTGGCTATGGCATTTTGTGTTGTTACTTAAACCACTGCCACGCCTACTTGTACTCTCCTAGCAACCACCCTGCTTTAACTGGCAACATTAAGTGCAGCCATGTACATACACGCCTAGCTGGACAGTACATTAAGATATCTGCATTTATAATGAAATGCTCTACAAAAATAGATACTTATCATAATAACATCCTTCATCTGGTTATTCACTAGCGCCGTATACAAAACCCTGCAATTATGCTCCCGCAATTATGTTCCCCGTACAATGTTTGTAGATAGCCGACCTTCACTTCTCTCTGTCTTCCATGTTTACGCACACTAGCTACGGAATCAATATCAGTGAGTGATATATACAATAGCCTGTATAGATGTATCCACTTGGGAGTTAATATGCACTGAGACTATCATGCGGTGACTCTGCATATTCATAAACTGGAATGACGAAGTGCACCTGAGTATCTACAAATATGAAAATAGTTTTGTTCTTCGTTGCCTTCACTGTTGTGAATTTATTTTGGATTGTAGCAGTCCACCGGGCGATATTAAGGTATGTCAGGTACATGTGTGCGTGATTCTAAATGAAAGATTTTGAAATATTTTTGAACGGAGTATAAATGCCGTTAATTAGGGTGGTAATCAATTCGATAATGTTTTCAATGCTCATTTTACTTTTGATGACGTTCAAATACAAGACAAGTGTTTTTTCTTCAAAAAATGTTCTGGCAACGACCAACGATTTTTCAAGCTTTTAAGTAAGACTCTAAAACTAACCCCTCTTAACTGATGAAAAAAACGTCCAAATTCATTACAGATATGTGAACAATGTCTTTGCAAAGGGGAGTGAAGAAACGGTTGCCAAATCTTTGGACATCTGCCAAGTAACCCAGGAAAATGGGACAAGAACAGGTTAGGGCCCTATAAATACAGAGGCGCTCTTGGGATATTTTTCTTTGTAACTACGCGGTATATGTACTTGGTTCTTTGTACTCATAAAGGAAAGCAAGTACAGCGTGCACTGTGTGATAAACCTCTCAGTGGACATTCAATTGGCAGATACTAATGCAGAAGCATTTTGGAGGCGTCTCAAACAACATACAGATAGGGTTAATCTACCCTCTACCAGGGCGACAGATTGATTTTTTTTGGCAGATATGTCTCTAGATGAATAGACAGTCATTTTGGTCTGATGTCGCCTCAGCAGAAAATGTCCACAATAATAACTGCGGCCCTTGTAGAGGGTAGGGTTAATCAACGTGTCGTCAAAACGGATTGAGTAAAATATCAATTTTTAGTGACTTTTTTGCATATTCCGTTTAATACATACTGACTAAAGATATACAAGAGCTTTTTCAATTTTAGAAAGTGCATTTGATGTTCAACTGACACTTTTGCCAACGCTAAATAGAACGGAGCTGTTCAAAGAGGTCGCCACCGGAGGCCTATGGGCACCTATGTCATGCAAGCCTAGGGACCACGTGGCCATCATCATTCCTTACCGTGACAGACAAGAACATCTAGATATTCTCCTCCAAAATCTGCACCCTTTTCTACAAAGCCAGAAGTGCCACTACCAGATATTTGTCGTTGAACAGGTCGATTGTTTAATGTCCATTATTTCCTACTTCTCTCTCTTTCTTTCTCTCTCGCTCTCTGTCAGTAAAGAACTTCGGTTGCCTCATAAAGTGTAGTAGTAGTAGTAGTAGTATAATTTGTACATAAAAAATAATTTTTTATTCATCCTCGGCACTTTTATATTTCTACAGGCGCTTCCAGCGCCCTATAACCTAGGGTATACCAGAAATGTAGGATTCGTCGAGGCCAGTGCCACGTTTAATTTCACCTGCTACATATTTCATGACGTGGATAAAATCCCTATGAACAATTCACTACTGTATAGATGTCCGCCCGACAGAGTTCTTCATTTGGCCTCCGCTGAGGACAGGAATCAGTACGAGTCTGTGTCAATTATTAATTACACAAGTTTACTTTCTCCTTCTCTCTCTCTCTCTCTCTCTCTCTCATTATAATCTGACCAATCTTCTTCATATAAATCATGAAGTACATTTCGACTTCGATATTGTCATACCGATCGCTATTTTTATGCAATTATTGCTTTCACTGAAATTTGCCATGATGACATTGAAAAGAAGCACGGTGTTGTTGTAATAGTTATTAGTAATAACGTCAATATGTGCATTTGTGAGCTTTGCCGTCTAGTAATCTATTTGTTTTTATATTCTCTCTTTGTGATCGAAATCTTTTATTTGGTCACAGAGCTGGGGGCAGGCCTAGCTAGAACGTGTAAATGATAGCTATACATTATCACATGGATAATCATTTGTTTAGCTTAAATGCTGTGTTTTAGCCTGATGTACCCAAACTACATTGGTGGAGTTATTGGGACCGCCCCTGACACATTCAAGAAGCTAAACGGGTTTCCTAATAATTACATAAGATGGGGCGGGGAGGACGACGATTTTTTTCAAAGGTAGGTTGAATATCTAACTTAAATGGGCATCTTTATTGATTTTATGCCAGAATCGCTTTATGATTGATCAAAGTGATGCTCCTAAACCCCAAGGCGGGTTGCTGATATAAACAAGCCAGGTACGGTATATTGGATCAGTCTCCATGGCGCAACACAGGTGCCTTATGCACAGCTTTAATACTTATGCACCGATTTAGCGAGCCTTCCGACGCATCCTTAGACCGGCGATTTACGCGGAAAAATTGGCCGTACGGTCGCCCTTAATGGAAGTCAACCATCCAGTTCAGGAATGATACATATACCTTTCGTTCTCCTCGAAAAAAGCATCACCGATGTCATATGTGTGTTTCTGTTAACTTGCTTACGAATTTGACCTTTAACTGTCTAAAGTTTGAAGGTCCAAGGACCAAGCCCCTTCTTTTCACGAGCCAATAGACCGATATCTTGACTGCAGATGACTATGATCGCATAGTGTGAATATATGTATAGTTGATTGCAAAACACTGCAACTGAAAAAGTTACTTCATTGCCCTCAGCAATGATTTCGTCTGCTCAGAACTTCAAACAGTTGTTGCCATACCTTTAAATGATGCTTAAGAAAACATCATCCTAAACGGCAATCGTGAGAAACTAAACGCATCTATGTTATGGTTTTTTTTTTTTTTTTTTTGCTTTCAGTCACCGTGTTGTTTTGCAGATCCCAGACAGGTCACATCAATAGAGACGCAGCTGAAGTCGGTGACATTTTAGCCCGTTGCAAATCATCTTTAAAAAAAGCGATCTTGTTTTTCTAGGAGTGTCTCTCAAAAAGTTCCCATTGAGCATGCCCACACACAATTAGGAATGTACAGGGTTTTAAACCACACGCGTCCACCTGGCTACGACAACAAGGAGAAGTAAGTTATTATTTATAATAGTGTGAAAGGACAGGGAAGAATGGGGTTATGTATGTATAATTGACTATTTTTTTCAATTCTATGTTTTTATTTGTGGTTTGACACTACTTTTTGCGACAGATTAAATGGTTCCATTTAGAAAAACTTTTTTAAACATTTTACGAGGCTATCAAAAATAATTGATTAATCCCCTTTACATTACTTTTTGTGAAATTGAGCCCCCCCCCTCGTAATGCTTAAGCAACACCATGCAGTGTCACACTATTTTAGTCTTCAAAATGCTCAGTGCTGCATAGCTTTCGTAGTATATTGATTATCCTTTCAAATAACTCATAGAGGCGATATGAACCAGTTTGCATCGAAGTTGTATAAGCACTACGGGCCGTTGATTGATGGACTGAATACATTGAACTACACCCGACTAGCAACAGAGTATCGACCAACTTACACTTGGATCAAATTTAATTTTGATCAGAAAAGCATGATGAAGGTACGTAATAATAGGACTATGGCGAAAAGAGCGCACTGGTTACGATCGAGACTCAAAATAAATGATTTCTTGATTTTTATTTCAAAGTGTAATATGATGGTCGCCATCGAACAGGTTGTTATAATTTTTTTATTTATCTTGAAGACTCCTGATTCCAGATTCTTCTTAAAGAATGGTGGATTCGCCATTGGATCCAGAAGATGTAGATAATAAAATTCGATTTACGACCTTTACAAGCCCCATTATAATGGATTCTGGGTAATTTCAGACTGTATGGAAAGGAATAATGGACGCCAAATATGACAAGATGGTTAACAATACATACTGGGCAGTAAATTACACACGGGCCAACGAGATGTTTCCGAAGTAAGTAGACATTTATTTTGAAAGAGGCGTTTGATAATATTGTACACACTGGACAATAGAAGTGTTACCCCTACTGAACCAGTACTTTGGGGGAGATAAATGACTGTGGACAATATGCTCCTGGTATCATTTTATTAACCTCAAATTTCACAAAAAGACCAACAATACAATTCCATAGTACAGCGGTTTTATACTCATTAGTCACATTATAAGTAGACCAGGCATCATAACTTTGATTACTCTGATTCAGGGGGTGACACTCCTATTGTCCAGTGTGAGTGTATATCATATACATGTACCCCGGTAATGTCATGAGGGATCGATACGTTATAAAGGCTACACAGTACATGTACCCAGTACTAGTATGTGCATAAGCGAGTGGATAGCTTAATAAATCTATATAAACAAAGGGTTTTTGCTCTAAAAGTGTTAATTTTTATTGAATATATATTTATACTTAAATATTTATATTCATACTTAAATATGTAGTTCACATAAAAGAAACGGGAAAAATATTTTGCAAAATATCGAGCTTTATAAGGTAATAACACCAATTAAGCATGATTAAATGTGACATATAAGTACTTGTTGAACCCAGTAATGAAATCTTGGCTGCATTATTATAATTGCAATCGTACTGATAGTAAGTGATCTTGACGCTGGCATCTCACTCTATGCTTTTTAATCACCCCATCAGAGTAGTATATTCTCAGATTTAAGCTAATATTTAGGCATTATATGGACAAGATACCATACTTTTTATAATTGTTTTGTTAATTGGGCGAATAATTAATTCCACCTTCCCCACTCGTCTCAAATAAACTCCTGAATGAGCCAGATTACTGCAAGTTTCCCACCAGGTATGGCTGAGTCAATCAGTCAATTTTATTATTTATTTATTTATTGATTGATTGATCTATTTATTTATTTATTCATTTATTAATTTATTATTTTTGCAGAATTAACAGCGATATCAAGCGGGAAGCACAGACCTCTACAACGAAGAAGAGAAAGAAGAAAATCAGAGTTCGCAAAAAGAGCCGGAAATTATATCGACATTAGATATACATGTATACGTACATATGAACAAGTACTTTGACTTTTTTCTCCCAGTCTCATAATTTTCATTGTTAATTTATTGAAAGTGCTGTCAAACAAATGGACAGTTATAAAAGCCCATTAAAAAGTGGCTGGTTCACATAAAGGGGGGATTGAATTCAATACCAGAAAATTACGTGTAATTTGACACGAGACATATCTGCAGTAGGCTGCTTAAATGTTCACTTTAAACCAACAGATACGTTACTTAAGTGGACAGAGAGTATGAATATAACCGGGTTAAAGTTAAAATAAAATTGTCAAACAATTATCACAAAACATGTCACCCAAATTATTCACCAATTAATGTAAGCAATAAACGGGATAATTTCATAAATATATAAAAAATAGCAGTTTATGTGTCTTTGTTCATTCCGTATGAAGTTTCATTTTCTAGCATTGTTTTTAAACCATTTTTCGTTATTTCAGATCAAAATAAAACCCCAAAAGATAAAATGGTTTTCTTTGCACATTTTATTTCACTGCCTCAGCTTGACGTAATGCTTGGTTTTAAATAATTTATATGGCATACGTTTTTTTAATATTCATATTTTTTCCGTCACTTCAAATCCTTTGAAATATGTATAAGTAGTGACTGGAGTAGCCGCCGCCTCTCCGCCGCCGAAGAAAGTAGAGAAATAAATCCCGTCTATTTTCACCGATTCTGTTGTCCTAAAGTTCAACTTGTCAATCTCGTATACTTTCTGCCCATCAAAATATATCTGTAAAGAGAAAGATATTGTCATTAAGGTATTGGAGACGCAATGCTACGTGGCGTAACAAATTACAGCACACAAAAATTAATAGTCAGTAGGCCTGCGCAGCACAGCGCTGTTTTACGTACATCACATCAACGCTGCGCGCCCTCTAATAATATTAGAGCAGCTTAACACGACACAGCGCAACATAAAAAATTAATAAGAAAAAATTCAATTTAACACAGAAAAACAGTCGCAGAAAAATGGTTTTACTCGGAATAATTACAAAAAAAAAAGTACAACAGCCATCTTCACCCACCTCTGCTCGACCATCATGGACTCCAGGGTTGTTCAGCTGCAGGTACTGACTAAATGTGTTCCAGCGTCCTTTCTGAAACTTAAAACTTCCGCGGCCCAGGGAGTGAGCCCATTGGAAATTGCAAAAGACTCTCTCTTTCGTGCAGAAGTCCTGGGACTGGGGGCTGGGGAGGTAGGCGCTGATTTGCCCGTCGCCGTTCCCGCGCCACGTGACACGTGTCGAGAAGCAGCCAAGAGTAGCCGCGTCCTTGCTTCCAGAGCATGTTTGTCGTCCGCCGTAAAAGCCGGGGAGTTTTCCTCCTTTACTGAAGTCGAAGTCTTGAGGAAAATAAACCTATGATATGGAAACAAGAGTGAAATTATAGTCGTGTATTGTTCCTTTGAACTATTTATCTATTCGTTTTGTTTACAATTTATCTTTTTGGTTAATTTATTTATTTCCTCATTTATTTAACACTCGGTGTTAATCCATACACTCAAATCATCTAGTCATCAATTTATCAATCTAGTCATTAGTCTATCTAACTTTTACATGGGATGGGGAATCTAGATCATCTCACCTGGTATGTCAACATCAGCGCAGTGCCAGGAGTGAACGGTTGAGAGAAGAACTGTATACCGCCCAGAACAGGGGAAGCCCCAGGTCTGTATGACCCCTGGGGGTACAGCACGCGCAGGACGTACTCATTTCCGCCAGCAGGGTCAAGGACGACCGCAGCGTTTTGATCGTCGTCTTTGATCTGCTGGGCTGGTTGCCAGCCGGCGAGATAATTGTCGTCTGCGGCGTACGGCGCGTGACGCCATAAAACACCTTTGTGTACGAAACAAAAATGGAAGAATTAATTCGTTAAAAAGTGTTAATTTTATCTTTAGTTTTATGGCTTATTTCTTATATTCTCCTGTTTAAATCCGCTTTGAAAAACTGGTTGTGGAATACATGACAGATAACCCAGAAAAAAAGTTTTCTCTCCAATGTTTTGTGAGAGACTTGCAGAGATCCAATGCTAGTAAACTCTGACTTTGTCAATGAAAGTTACATTAAGGACATGTAAATCATGGTAGAAACAAGCACGATCGCAATAAATATAAAATAAATAGCGGGAGATCCGAATGGCCATTGAATTACCTGGTTCCGTAGGTGCAACAGTAGTCGGAGTCTCGGTGGAGGGAACTGCAGTGGTGGAGGTCACAGTGGAAGGAGCGTCGGTAGAGGGAGCCACAGTCGAGGGAACCGCCGTGGGGGTAGCCTCAGTGAGAGGAGATTCAGTTGGTTGCGTTGCACGTAGACTTAGTTGGTGGCTCTTTAAAGCTAGTGAAATACATATATTCCACATATAGTTAACACATCATAGCAAGAGGTACCAGCATGCCGTCCATATTAAAGTTATAAAAAAGTAAAGATATTAGATTTTACCAAAGTGCTCAAATGCTATGTGTAAATGATAATGAGTGTGTAATTGGATATAGTATGGTTTGAAATATGATTCTGTAAAAAAACAGAGTAAAAATAACTAATTGCAAACTGCAATAAAGCATGTGTTCATCGTGAGGGCCTTACTGCCCACCGCCGCCGAAACTGCAGTTCAGTAAACGAGCAAAACTATCTACACCCCAGAAAAAACATTCACATAGACACTATTAATAAAAAAAAAGACACCAACGCTCCTTTTTTGCCAATAACAACCAAAAACAAATCCACAGTAATAACACTGTACCTGCCACAGCGGACTGGAAGCCGGCATTATAATCCGTGGTCACTTCGTTTGTCCGGTAATTGGTCCTGTCGTCCACGTACTGGTCATTGCCGTCTGGACCTCCGACCAGAGCACCGTTTAACACATTGGGGTTGGGATCTGGACTGTTGAACGCATCCCAGCTACACACTACGTTAAAATCAGTTGGGCAAGACCTTGAAATTTAAAAAATAGAGGTGTCATTAGATATTTTCAACATAGAAAGTCATTTGTAAGTAGAATATCCAGTAAACATTAGAGTCTTTACGACATGATAAATAGAACAATTCATTTGTAAGTGTTACACAATAGGCCTTATTCATGCAATATTTCCTTTAACCTGTCAATCGACCCCTAAGTCATTGGAGTTTGTCTTTTTCATTTGGAATAATAAATTTGAAGTAATCAGAAGAAATACTCACGACGCTCGGTGATGAGGTTTAACAGGAGGATTGACGCCAAAACCAACCACAAAACTCCTCCCAGTGTCCCCAAGCATGTAGTTGATTTGGCCCTCAGCCCACGAACGATAGGTGGCGCTACTGATGCCCAAATCTGCCGCGCGCAGAGCCAGGAATGCAGAATTGGCTGCAACAGTGTTACAATTGTAGAATTATAAATAGCGAAGGGAATAGCTTATAAGGATAATGTCACAGGAAACAATACGTACAATTTCATAAAACTTCAGATAAATACATAAAAATACTTCAAATATTATTATTATTATTATTATTATTATTATTATTATTTATTTATTTTTTTATTATTTTTATATATGTATATAATACACTATAACATTTTATTTAAACAAAAATGTAAACTGTTAGCCATGATTAATTCGGTAGGTCTACAATAACCTTTTCCAATACATCAAAACATCATCACCATCAGAAAACCTTACCTGCATATCTAAGGGAACCCCACTGGTCCCTGAACGCCAGACCCTTCGGTGTGTAGGGAATCTGTCCACCGGGCATCCAGTAAGTGAGGTAGCCTTCAACATGTTGACGATATTTATCCTCGCTGGTCAACTGATACATCAGGACCTACAGAGAGAATTAGCTCATTTGAAAAATTGTATTTGTATTTATATTAAATTAATCTAAAGCGGAAGAAAGAAAAGGCCGTCGTGCAATTGGCGCGGTAAACCTTAACCAACATACCGCTGAAGGTTAGAGTCAGTGAACAGTTGGCATACAAAGTTATAAACGTTAAGAAGCTAACGAACATCGGAACAGATGCTAACGGTAACTTACTTTGGTGCCAGGCCCCTTGTCGTCCCACGAAAATCCCCAATTGGAATATTGGATTCCAAATTCATCGTACCAGGCGGTAGCAGAGGTGAGAAACTCGGCCTCTCCCGTGGCCCTGTACAACCACGCAGCAGCCCACACCAGCTCGTCTTTATAATCATACGACCTAATGGTAGAAGATATGAGTGGTTCAGTAGACTATAATATCGTATCCTCTACCAGGGCAACAAACTGAATTTTAACTAGATATCCACGGATGTGTATCGAGTTAAATAATGAGACTTTTCTGCACTGGCATCAGAGAAAAGCGCACAGAATAAAAATCTGCGGCTCTGGTAGTGGGAAATAAGATTTTGATTCGTTGGGCAATGAGAGAGAGAGAGAGAGAGAGAGAGAGAGAGAGAGAAGGGGAAGAGAGAGAGAGAGATTTGATCCATACGTGCCAATGTAAACTTTATTAGCAGCACCAAAGTAAATATACAGAGAAAAAAACATGTCGCAACTTGCAAGATGACAATGACGGAAATACTTACGGATAGTAGTTGTTAGCATCCGACACGCTGTCACTGTATTTGACTCTATTAGAGGTAGCGGCAAAGGTGTACAGCTTGCGAGCACTGGTTAAGAGGCGGTTGGCAAAGGTGATATCTGTGTGAGACGAATATCAGTATATGTCAGATGGGAGATATAGATGTAGGCCTATTGGTATGGCTGTTTATCATTTTCGAAAGGATCGATTGAAATAAATTCAACATTCAAACATTTAATCCAATGAAGTGTTGAATACATTTGGACAATGAATGTGAAAATATTTTTTTCAACTAAAAGTTACAACAGTAAATGGAATTTTGTCGCAGAAAGTATAGAAGAGCAATACTTTGAAGAACAAAGTTTGATTACTGCACATAAGAGCTAAACGCATCAATAAGAGCGTAGGCCGTAAGCATTTGTTGCGGCTAAAACATCGCTTTAAGTTATAAATGATTGGAATGGTTCTCACCTTCGTCCTTGAAGGCCAGATACCCGGCGGCCAACGCAGAGGCAGTCTCCGCCGCGGCGTCCGTACCAGGATTAGATGAATCAATCTTGTAAGCTGGTCGATTCTCAGTCCCGTCACTGGGCCTTGTCCAAAGATCGTGGTCCGTCTCACCATGTCCAACCTGAGGTATAGTGTTCAGTTGTTCCATTATTCAGAACCACTAAGGACTATTGTGGCCTTATGTCCCCCGCGGGAGGAAGAGCAATGATGACTAAGGACTATTACAGCCGTCATCTGAGCTTTTTTTTAGTTATTTCCAAGAATTACTCGGAACATTTTGTATTTATGGAATAATGGAATGGGATTGTATTAATGGCATTCTGCGATGACTAGTACGTAACTTTGAAATCTATAGTATCACTTATTGATAACCAATTTCTTGATAACAAATTCCTTTATGACCACAGTTACAACAGCGGACTAACAGATTCGTGGATCAAATATGGCGACCCACTTAAAAACTAACCATGTAATTCCCTAATAGACACTGAATAGATTCCCCGCGGGCATCATGCACCAATAATTCAAGTGTGTCGGCCATAATTGATCCTAGGATCTGTTAGTCCGCTTCTGTGAATGCGGCGATACCTATGATCATAGAAACTGGCCAAAACATGAACTCCCATATGAACATACCTGTACGTAAAGCTCATTATCAGCAGTGTGTGCCTTCAAGAAGTACTCCAATGGCCAACGGATGCAGTCCAGCATGTACTCATACTGACCAGTGGCGTGGTAGGCGTCCGGGTAATCTAGAAGACCCCAGGTAAGAACTGTTGTGCTCCAGGCCATTGGGAAACCGAATTTGACGGTGTCGCCAGCTAGGGAAAATATAGAAAAAGGGTAAATCCATGATATTTGGAAAAGAGAGAAATTCAGAAACTCATCGATGTGATTTATGAGCTGGTAGGTGTAAAATATAATTAACAGTTCTCTTTAAACAAGAAAAACTAAGGCAGTTACCTCAGGCAGAGTTGTGTTGTAGAAATCATTATCTGTGGCCTAAGAAATACAAAAGTTTAGGTGACTGACGTTAGGTGGTGCTACATGCATTTACAAGAGAGACTTAAATTTTCTTGGTGCCAAAGCCTTGATTCGAAGCACTGTCTTACAATTTGCTTAAAAAACGCCAATATGGGCTTTGTGTCTTCTGAAACCTTACCGTCATACCAGCCTCCTGTCAAATCCTCGCCATTATTTCCCAGATCATTAAGATGAGACGATCTTCTCCACGGTATTCTGTTTTCCGCTGGGAGAACTCCTGAACGCTGTGCCTCGTAAAACAAGATGGACTTCTCCAAAACTTCATCCAAGTTGTATTTTGAAGTGCCTTAATATTAAAAAATCAGAGCGTCAAATACTTTCATGACTTTGGTATCTATGGCTGCATTTAGAATAGCGGACTAACTAGTCCGCGGGCCAAAAATGGCGACCGACTTAAAAGCTTGCTGACTAATCCACTAATAGACACTGAATAGATTCCCCGTGGGGAAGTATTCAAGTGGATCAGCCATATTTGACCCAAAGACTAGTTAGTCCCCTGGTCTGAATATGTGATCGCCTCTGTTTTGTTACCTGAAGCACCCGTTACCAACATTATAACACGACATTTGCAATACGTTATTGTATTTGACATAGAGTGAATCAAGAATTTATACCGCTGCCCGCCTCCGTAAATTCCAACAGAGAATATCGAAATGTGTACATGTGTACATCTGATAATCTAATCTACCTATCAATCAACCTACTTTGCGGTGTTGTCTCAGACGATGCTGTAGATGAGACCGGAGTGGGCGTGGTCGAAGGCGTCACTGTTGTACACACTGTTGAGGGCGTGGTTGGGGCGGGAGGTGTGGGAGGGGCGGTGGTACTTTCACTAGCTGGTGTTGTGCTCGGGCTTTGGGTGGTACACACTGTTGAGGGCGTGGTTGGGGCGGGAGGTGTGGGAGGGGCGGTAGTGCTTTCGGTAGCTGGTGTTGTGCTTGGGCTTTGTGTGGTACACACTGTTGAGGGCGTGGTTGGGGCGGGAGGTGTGGGAGGGGCGGTGGTGCTTTCAGTAACTGGAGTTGTGCTTGGGCTTTGGGTGGTACAAACAGTTGAGGGCGTGGTTGGGGCGGGAGGTGTGGGAGGTGCGGTTGTGCTTTCACTAGCTGGGGTTGTGCTTGGGCTTTGGGTGGTACAAACAGTTGATGGTGTTGTTGGAGGTGGTGGGGTCGGGGGAGCAGTTGTGCTGGGCTCAGTAGGCGTAGTTCCAGCGGGCGTGGTCGTCGGAGTAGGCGTGGTCGTTGGAGTGGGCGTGGTCGTCGGAGTGGGCGTGGTTGTCTCCACGGTGCCACTCCCACACGGAGGATCAAACACTGCAGTGATTGGCTCTACTTGGGACTGCGGGCTGTACCTCACTACGAATCCTATACCAGAGAGGGTACTACCAGGACTTAGATTGCCATTCCAGCTTAAATTTGACAGTTTATAAACCCTGCTGGATGTTGAACTAGGAACAAAATTGGCGTTCCAAGAATTCTGAAACAAAAAATAAGAATTACCTATAACCACGATGCCCCCCCCCCCCCTTTCTATAGCTATCTTTAAAAGTCTGATTTGGTGACATCTGCCTTAAACAGAAATTTTATTGTCCTAGTATTTAAATTGACATCAAGTTCACGAATGATGTACATAAATATACCTGGACAAGCCTTTGTCAAAACGCGGCAATTTTAATATCAAAACATTCAACAAGATACATACCTCTATATGCGAAATATCATCATTAAATGTGAGAGTGATTGTCCATCCATTGCAAGTGTTGACCACTGGTACTGAAAGTCGAGCTTGCAAAGCTGCCCCTTGGTCATCAGTCCACCGGCTGTCAACAATGACCGAGGCTTGTGCTGCAGGTACCCGTATTAGTGCCATTAACGACAGAACAGCAAAATGGTGAAGCGACATTCTGAAATTAGACTCGATTTTAGACTGATCCTGTATCAGAACAGACGCAGAAAGTATTACGTAAATAAAACTGGATTTTGTAGAGAAGAGTACAATTGAAAATGACAATAACAAGGTGCACAGGGCGTACGACTTTGTCCTCAAAAATAGGTGAAAAATGCAATTCACAATGACAAAATGACGAAGTAGCGTGTGCCTCTACAAAGACAAAAATATGAAATATAAAGGGAAGCTTAGGCCCTTAAGGTAGCAAAACCTCGGCCCCACGTATCAGAGCATTCCCCCATGATGACGAGTCCCATTTTTGGCACGTCACACTAGCAATAACCTGCTCGAATCTAATGGAGGACATACTCTGTTTCACAGAAGTTTCTTTGCACGGAAGTTCTTTTACGATGATGATAAAAATGCATACACCCGTCTAAATCAAAGGGACTATGAAATGGAATTTGTCCCTTGTTAGTTCGTTCCAACAACTTTGTAACATAAGGTAAAAAGATGAAATAATGAAACAAATCGAGGTTAGAGAAGGGGAGATAAGACGGAACTTCGTGGTGCCCTATTGTTACAATATATGCACCCTTTTTCACGCTTTCGCACTATGTCAACTACGTGATCCCTGTTCACAATTATATGGCTGATATGATGCCTTTTTGTTGATCAGCGACCTCACCCTGGCGTGTCATATTCCCCTTTATCTCCATATAGTGTCGCTTAGCAGAAGGGCGCTTATAAGTCACGACGAGCTGTCCGGGGCCTGGGCCAGGTTTAACAAAAGTCTAATGTTATTTTGGGAGAGTTGAAGCAAATAAGTGCTACTATCCGATAGCCGTCTACGTAGAGTCGACTTAGTTGTCAAGACCAGTGGCGGATTTAGGGGGGTGTCAGGGGGGTACTGACCCCCCTTCGAAACCCTACCAGATGACACCGTTCGCGTTCCAAAACGCCAATTTTTTTTTTTTTTTTTTTTTTTTTTTTTTTTTTTTTTTTGGGGGGGGGGGGGGTTTTCGGGGGCCCCCCCCCCCCCCCCAGGGGGCCCGGGGTTTTTTTAAAAAAAACCCCCCCCCC